AACAGAGAAGGTGAGGACACATACAGCGCCTGAAGAAGTCTTCCTGTGATGGACCGACACAAACATGGCACATAATTGTGACGTGGAAGGAAAACGAGAAATGGTTTCCAACATTTGTGACCAATAAATCTGTGAGAAGTGTGGGGGACATTTGTATTCGGACCCCCCTGGAGTCAATACTTTGTAGGGCCCCCTTTGGCTGCCATTCCAGCTGCAAGTCTTTTTGGGGATGTCTCTTTGCACATCTAGAGAGGGACATTTTCTGCCCGTTCTTCTTTGCAGAATCCCTCAAGCTGTCAGATTGGATGGAGGGCGTCTGGGAACAGCAATTGTCAGGTCTGGCCACAGATTCTCCATTGGATTTGGGTCTGGACTGTGATTGGTCCATTCTAACCCATGAAGATGCTTTGATGGGAACCATTCCATTGTAGGTCTGGCTGGATGTTTCGGGTCGTTGTCCTGCTGGAAGGGGAACCTCGGCCCCGGTCTCAAGTCTTCTGCAGACTCTAACAGGTTTTCTTCTAAGATTGCCCTGTATTTGGCTCCATCCATCTTCCCATCAACTCTGACCAGCTTCCCTGTCCCTGCTGAAGAAAAGCCTCCCCACCACATGATGCTGCCACCACCATGTTTCACGGTGGGGATGGTGTGTTCAGGGGGATGGGCAGTGTTAGTTTTCCCCCACACATAGCGTTTTGGCTTTAGGCCGTAAAGTCCCATGTTGGTCTCCTCTGACCAGAGCCCCTTCTTCTTCCATGTTTGCTGTGTCCCCCCCACATGGCTTCTCACAAACTGCAGACGGGACTTCTTATGGCTTTCCTCCAACAATGGCTTCCTTCTTGTCACTCTTCCATAAAGGCCAGATTTGTGGACGACTAATAGATTCTCCCCCCTGATCTGTGATCTCTGCAGCTCCTCCAGGGTTCCCATGAGCCTCTTGGCTGCTCCTCTGATGAATGCTCTCCTTGCCCAGCCGGTCAGTTTAGGTGGACGGCCATGTCTTGGTAGGTTGGCAGTTGTGCCGTACTCCTCCCATGTTCGGATGATGGATTGAACACAGTTCTCCGTGAGATGGGCAAAGCTCGGGAGATTTCTTTATAACCTGACCCTGCTTTAACCTTCTCCACAACTTTATCCCTGACCTGTCTGGTGTGTTCCTTGGCCTTCATGATGCTGTTTGGTTCACTAATGTTCTCTAACAAACCTCTGAGGGCTTCACAGAACAGCTGGATTTATACTAAGATCACATGACACACAGGGGGACTCTATGTACTAATTAGGTGACTTCTGAAGGCAATTGGTTCCACTAGATTGTAGTTAGGGGGATCAGAGTAAAGGGGGCTGAATACAAATGCCGCCACACTTCTCACAGATTTATTGGTCACAAATGTTGGAATCCATTTCTCATTTTCCTTCCACTTCACAATTATGGGCCCCTTGTGTCGGTCTATTATTTATATATATAGTATACATACACATATGGAGAGAAGAGAGAGAAAAGGCGGAGGAAGAGGAAAAGATACAGTGGGAGGAGAGCGAGTGAAAGAGAAAGAAAAGAAATGAGAGAAAGGGAGAGAAAACCACAGGAAGGGGAGGGGCAGAGGAAAAGTACAGGAAGGGGAGGGGCAGAGGAAAAGCACAGGAAGGGGAGGGGCAGAGGAAAAGCACAGGAATGGGAGGAGGGGGAGAGTGAAGGAGGGGAGAGTCGTACTCTGCCAGTCTCAGGGGCCACATCGAGGGTGTAGATCCACCTGGCGTGGGCATCCAGCTCAGCACAGATAGTCCCCGTGGCGGCATCATAGACCCGAATCTGACCCGTTCCATAAGCGGCTGCAATGACTCCATCCCACAGCTTCACGGAGGAGCAGGTCACCCTGCAGAACAAGACAGAGGTCATCATCATCCCTGGGACATCCCAGAACACAATCCATATCTCGTCTCAGTTTGCTGGAGCCGGCAGAGTCCTTACAGCAGACAAGTCATGTGATGTCCCGTCTGCAATAACTCCTCCTACTGCGCCTGCCTGTCCACAACCTCCTATAGAACGGACTGTGAACTGCGCAGCTCAGGGCACATTCTCACCATGTGTGGGGTCACCAATCATACCTGGCCAATCAGGAGGGGAGAAGATCCTCAACTTCTTGTATACAGGTGGTCATGTGATCCTATTCTGCCCCCCCACCCCCCGAGATGATATCCTGTATACAGGTGGTCATGTGATCATATTCAGCCCCCCCCCCGAGATGATATCCTGTATACAGGTGGACATGTGATCATATTCCCCCCCCCCCCCCCCGAGATGATATCCTGTATACAGGTGGTCATGTGATCCTATTCTGCCCCCCCCCCCCGAGATGATATCCTGTATACAGGTGGTCATGTGATCTATCATATTCCCCCCCCCCCCGAGATGATATCCTGTATACAGGTGGTCATGTGATCATATTCAGCCCCCCCCCCCCCCCGAGATGATATCCTGTATACAGGTGGTCATGTGATCATATTCCCCCCCCCCCCCCGAGATGATATCCTGTATACAGGTGGACATGTGATCATATTCCCCCCCCCCCCCGAGATGATATCCTGTATACAGGTGGTCATGTGATCATATTCAGCCCCCCCCCCCCCCGATATGATATCCTGTATACAGGTGGTCATGTGATCATATTCTGCCCCCCCCCGAGATGATATCCATGGTATCACTCTGGAAGATAAGTAAATATATACAGGTGGTCATGTGCTCCCCGTATTCTGGGCCTCCCCGATGTCGGGCACTCTCCTGTATCAGGTGGCATGTGATCATATTCTGCCCCCCCCCCCCTGTGATGGGCTCTCCCTGTGTCAGGTGCTCCCCGTGCTGGGCACTCCCATATGTCTGGGCACCCCCCGTGTTGGGTTCTCCTGTGTCAGGGGCACTCTCCATGTCGGGATCTCCCGTGCTGGGCTCTCCCCGATCATGTTTGGGCGCCCTCCCCGAGATGCTAGGCTGTCTCCCTGTGGTCGGGTGATGCCCCCATGTCGGGCACTCCCCCGGGCACTCCCCGTGTCGATATCCTGTCCCCGGTGGGCACTCCCCGTGCTGGGTGCTCCCCGTGTCGGGATCTCCCCGTGATCGGGATCTCCCTGTGTCGGGATCTCCCTGTGCTGGGCACTCCCCGTGCCCCCCACTCCCCGTGATGATATCCTTCTCCAGGTGTTGGGTTGCCTCCCTGTGCTGGGTACTGCCCGTGTCGGGTTCTCCCTGTGTCGGGTGCCCCCCTGGGCCTCCCCGTGATATCCTGTATACGGGGTCCCTGTGATCGGGTGCTCCCCATGCTGGGCACTCCCCGTGCTAGGCTCTCCCTGTGCTGGGCACATTGTGCCCCCCCCCCCCCCCCCAGTCTGGGTGTCGTGGAGTTGGGGTGTTCTGGGTGTCACATGTATGTATGGCTGCTCACCCGTACGCAGAGATCTTGCTGACCAGTCGGAAGTCCTCTCCGCTCTTCCAGACGCACAGCAGGCCGGAGTCGTCGGCTGTCACCAGGTGGTCATGCGGTTCTGTCCTGTAACACGGACCGGGATGAGTACATATAATGTGGCTGTCCAGGGTGCGTACGGGACTACCGCCTCTTACCTGCCCCCCCCTCCCCCGCACGTCTCGCTGGCGATGTCAGTGATGGCGTCTCTGTGCTCAGCCACCCCCTCGGCCAGGGTGATGTTGGTGCCCTTCGCTGGAACGTCAAAGACCAGGACCCCCCCGGAGGATGTTCCTGCATAGGGATAGGACCAATAACATGCCTTCTATGGGGGGCAATACATCACCGCGGACATAGTACAGGAGACGGTCAGTGACTGCGGACATAGTACAGGACCCCCCAGAGACTGCAGACATAGTACAGGAGATCATGTGATCAGAGACTGCGGACACAGTACAGGAGAGATGGTCCAGAGACTGCAGACATAGTACAGGAGATGACCAGAGACTGCGGACACAGTACAGGAGATGACCAGAGACTGCGGACACAGTACAGGAGATGATCAGAGACTGCGGACATAGTACAGGAGATGACCAGAGACTGCAGACATAGTACAGGAGATGACCAGAGACTGCGGCAGACATAGTACAGGAGACGGTCAGAGACTGCAGACATAGTACAGGAGACGGTCAGAGACTGCAGACATAGTACAGGAGACGGTCAGAGACTGCAGACACAGTACAGGAGATGACCAGAGACTGCGGACATAGTACAGTAGATGACCAGAGACTGCGGACACAGTACAGGAGATGACCAGAGGGACTGCGGACTCACAGTACAGGAGATGACCAGAGACTCCCTGTGCGGACATAGTACAGGAGGGACCAGAGACTGCGGACATAGTACAGGGGGATGACCAGAGACTGCGGACATCCCCGGTACAGGAGATGACCAGAGACTGCGGACATAGTACAGGAGGTGACCAGAGACTGCGGACATAGTCTCCAGGGTGGGGATGACCAGAGACTGCGGACATAGTACAGGAGATGACCAGAGACTACTGCGGGACATAGTACAGGAGATGACCAGAGACTGCGGACATAGTACAGGAGATGACCAGAGACTGCGGACATAGTACAGGAGATGACCAGAGACTGCGGACATAGTACAGGAGATGACCAGAGACTGCGGACATAGTACAGGAGGTGACCAGAGACTGCGGACATAGTACAGGAGAGGACCAGAGACTGCGGACATAGTACAGGAGATGACCAGAGACTGCGGACATAGTACAGGAGATGACCAGAGACTGCGGACACAGTACAGGGGATGACCAGAGACTGCGGACACAGTACAGGAGATGACCCGAGACTGCGGACACGGTACAGGAGATGACCAGAGACTGCGGACATAGTACAGGAGATGACCAGAGACTGCGGACATAGTACAGGAGATGACCAGAGACTGCGGACACAGTACAGGAGATGACCAGAGACTGCGGACACAGTACAGGAGATGACCAGAGACTGCGGACACAGTACAGGA